TGAATGAGCAGCAAGATGGAAGATGACACTTACTGTTGACAAATGTAAATTAAAAGGAATAATTTGAACTACTCATGCACATTTCTAGGTTCTGAAATAACTATAAATGCTCAAGAAAAAGACACGATTATTTATGTGCCATGGTGGCGTGAAAAGGTAAAGGCATTGCAACCTCTACAGGGTTAACGGGGCTGCAACCAGTGGAGTATGAAAGGTGGCTGGGGGAAAAGCTGAGTCAAAGGGGAGCTAAGAAGAAGGGTGCACCTTTTCTCCTGGCTATCTAAAGTGGCGGAAAGCATTTGGGGAATTATTGTCCAGTGCTTTTAAGTCCATTTATTTTTTGTGTTAATTATAAAAGAGTCCTAAAAGGACTGCGGTTTGGACCTTATTTCTGTTCCCTGGCTGGTGAAACTGCCCACCAGTCTGCAAGTACTCATAATGCAAACTACCAGTTAAAACATAAAAAGAAGGGAATGGAAAATACTACTGAAAATATTTACCACAATATAAATGGATAGTATTCCCTCACATTTAACACTTTTTCCCTTTGGGTTATCAGATATTAAAAAAAGATGTAGTAGAAATAGAGGTTCAGAGATAGGCAGGAATATGGTTAAAAGTTATGGAAAGACTTCCATTAGAAGAGAGAAAAGATTAGGACTGTTTTATTCAGAGAGGAGACAAATAAAAGGGGATATAAGGTACATAAAATTATGAATGGTATCTAGCAGTTATTTGCGTGCTCCTATTGATTCTTTCTGATACTACAAGAGTAAGTGGATTAAAACTGAAACTGAAAGACAGTAAATTAAAACCAGTAAAGGGAAATACTTTATGTTTTACACAAATCATACCTAGCCTATAGAATTTATTGCCACAGGATATTACTGAATCCAAGAGTTCAATAGGATTAAAAATGATGAAACATTTATGTAACTAATGAGAGCATCCGTAGTTACATTAAAATAAATTATACAAATAATAAAGGATCAAATTTTGTATTGCAGGGCATAAGCCACCTACTAACAGCTTGGGGCAGGAAGAAAAAACTGTCCCGATTGGCCATTTCAGGAATTCTTGCACCTTCCAATTGAAAATTAGCTACTAGTCACCGTTGAAGATGGAATATTGGACAAAATATACCAGTGATCTAATGTAATAAAGCATTTACTATATACCTAGTTAGTGCTGTGTGGATACTTATGCAGTGCTAACATGATCAATGAAGCTGATACCTATGCACCTCAATTTAAATGTCTCAATACTTTGGATCAAGGAGATGGTGGTAATCTGTAACACACCTGAATTATCCACAAACAGAAATGACTGTATGGAACCAAAAAATTAATCAATAAATCAATCTCCACTGTAATTACATGTACTGGTTTTTAAAATAGACAAAGTCCACATTTTCTGCAATAGTTTTTTTAAATTATGATTAAGCAGAGTAAAATACATATGCAGAAAAGTATGTTCTAAATTGGCATACACTTCAGCAAATAGGAAAAGCTTTCATGCAGTCAAAAGAATCTCATTTATAGGACCATTATAAAGTGGATTAATAAATCCCAGAATTAAGTGGTATGATACTGTGAGCGTCTTTCCTAACAAGATTTTTTAATGTGGAATCGGAAAAGTTATTTTCATATACCCTAAAATAAAATATTTACATTAAATATTATTAACCTTCTTAGTGTTACTACATATTTAATTTCTGAAGGAGTATGTTTTCAAAATTTTAAAAGTTGGCCAAAAAATTCTGAAAAGACAGGAATGAAATAGAAGTTTTACTTTTTCCAGGCCATAAGGGATTTCTTGTATTCCCGGTTTTGCTTTAACTGGTCAATATTCTAAAATCAAAAAGTACATATTGTCTTTTTCATCACTAAGTGTCTGGATGTTAGTGAGTTTTTTACCTGCCTTCTTTTGCCACAACTTTTCTTTGAAGTTGTTTTCAAATGGGTCTCCATCTTTGAGTAAATCTGTTTTGAGGCCACTGCTTCACAATGCAAGGGATCATTCACTGTCAACATCTTAAAATATAAAAGTTGATATACCCTTATTATCTAAAACTCCAGTACTATTGTAATGGTTATCATGACAGGACTTCTGATTGACTTTTTTTTTGGCCACTGAATCTCACCATTACAATCCACCCTGACCTGTAACTTCTAACAATACTAACACCAATGTGAATTATACAGATAAATTATCACTCACTGTCCAAAGAATAGACCACTATCAATATGTACCCTTTCTTACTGATGTACATTCTCACTCTAGCAGCTAACCTGTGTCTGTGAGGCATTAATAGCCCAGTGCTTCATATTTCTAGGGTATGTCTACACTACGGAATAAGGTCGAATTTATAGAAGTCGGTTTTTTAGAAATCGGTTTTATATATTCGAGTGTGTGTGTCCCCACAGAAAATGCTCTAAGTGCATTAAGTGCATTAACTCGGCGGAGTGCTTCCACAGTACCGAGGCTAGAGTTGACTTCCGGAGCATTGCACTGTGGATAGCTATCCAACAGTTCCCGCAGTCTCCGCTGCCCATTGGAATTCTGGGTTGAGATCCCAATGCCTGATGGGGCTAAAACATTGTCGCGGGTGGTTCTGGGTACATATCGTCAGGCCCCCGTTCCCTCCCTCCCTCCGTGAAAGCAAGGACAGACAATCGTTTCGCGCCTTTTTTCCTGAGTTACCTGTGCAGATGCCATACCACGGCAAGCATGGAGCCCGCTCAGGTAACCGTCACCCTGTTTCCTGGATGCTGGCAGACGCAGTACGGCATTGCTACACAGTAGCAGCTACCCCTTGTCTTGTGGCAGCAGACGGTACAGTACGACTGGTAGCCGTCATCGTCATGTCCGAGGTGCTCCTGGCCACGTCGGCTGGGAGCGCCTGGACAGACATGGGCGCAGGGACTAAATTTGGAGTGACTTGACCAGGTCATTCTCTTTAGTCCTGCAGTCAGTCCTATTGAACCGTCTTATGGTGAGCAGGCAGGCGATACAGATTGCTAGCAGTCGTACTGTACCATCTTCTGCCGGGCAGGCAAGAGATGAGGATGGCTAGCAGTCGTACTGTACCATCTTCTGCCAAGCAGCCATGAGATGTGGATGGCATGCAGTCCTTCTGCACCGTCTGCTGCCAGCCAAAGATGTAAAAGATAGATGGAGTGGATCAAAACAAGAAATAGATCAGATTTGTTCTGTATTCATTTGCTTCCCCCCTCCCCGTCTAGGGGACTCATTCTTCTAGGTCACACTGCAGTCACTCACAGAGAAGGTGCAGCGAGGTAAATCTAGCCATGTATCAGAGGCCAGGCTAATCTCCTTGTTCCAATAAGAACAATAACTTAGGTGCACCATTTCTTATTGGAACCCTCCGTGAAGTCCTGCCTGAAATAGTCCTTGATGTAAAGACACCCCCTTTTTTGATTTTAGCTCCCTGAAGCCAACCCTGTAAGTCGTGTCATCAGTCGCCCCTCCCTCCGTCAGAGCAACGGAAGACAATCATTCCGCGCCTTTTTTCTGTGCGGATGCCATACCAAGGCAAGCATGGAGGCCGCTCAGCTCACTTTGGCAATTAGGAGCACATTAAACACCACACGCATTATCTAGCAATATATGCAACACCAGAACCTGGCAAAGCCATACCGGGCGAGGAGGCGACGTCAGCGCGGTCACGTGAGTGATCAGGACATGGACACAGATTTCTCTGAAAGCATGGGCCCTGCCAAGGCATGCATCATGGTGCTAATGGGGCAGGTTCATGCTGTGGAACGCCGATTCTGGGCTCGGGAAACAAGCACAGACTGGTGGGACCGCACAGTGTTGCAGGTCTGGGACGATTCCCAGTGGCTGCGAAACTTTCGCATGCGTAAGGGCACTTTCATGGAACTTTGTGACTTGCTTTCCCCTGCCCTGAGGCGCATGAATACCAAGATGAGAGCAGCCCTCACAGTTGAGAAGTGAGTGGCGATAGCCCTGTGGAAGCTTGCAAGGCCAGACAGCTACCGGTCAGTTGGGAATCAATTTGGAGTGGGCAAATCTACTGTGGGGGCTGCTGTGATGCAAGTAGCCCACGCAATCAAAGATCTGCTGATATCAAGGGTAGTGACCCTGGGAAATGTGCAGGTCATAGTGTATGGCTTTGCTGCAATGGGATTCCCTAACTGTGGTGGGGCCATAGACGGAACCCATATCCCTATCTTGGCACCGGAGCACCAAGCCGCCGAGTACATAAACCGCAAGGAGTACTTTTCGATAGTGCTGCAAGCTCTGGTGGATCACAAGGGACGTTTCACCAACATCAACGTGGGATGGCCGGTAAAGGTACATGACGCTCACATCTTCAGGAACTCTGGTCTGTTTCAAAAGCTGCAGGAAGGGACTTTATTCCCACACCAGAAAATAACTGTTGGGGATGTTGAAATGCCTATATGTATCCTTGGGGACCCAGCCTACCCCTTAATGCCATGGAGCCGTACACAGGCAGCCTGGACAGTAGTCAGGAGCTGTTCAACTACAGGCTGAGCAAGTGCAGAATGGTGGTAGAATGTGCATTTGGACGTTTAAAGGCGCGCTGGCGCAGTTTACTGACTCGCTTAGACCTCAGCGAAACCAATATTCCCACTGTTATTACTGCTTGCTGTGTGCTCCACAATATCTGTGAAAGTAAGGGGGAGACGTTTATGGCGGGGTGGGAGGTTGAGGCAAATCGCCTGGCTGCTGGTTACGCGCAGCCAGACACCAGGGCGGTTAGAAGGAGGGCGCAGTATGCATCAGAGAAGCTTTGAAAACCAGTTTCATGACTGGCCAGGCTACGGTGTGAAAGTTCTGTTTGTTTCTCCTTGATGAAACCCCCCGCCCCTTGGTTCACTCTACTTCCCTGTAAGCTAATCACCCGCCCCTCCTCCCTTCAATCACCGCTTGCAGAGGCAATAAAGTCATTGTTGCTTCACATTCATGCATTCTTTATTCATTCATCACACAAATAGGGGGATGACTACCAAGGTAGCCCAGGAGGGGTGGTGGAGGAGGGAAGGAAAATGCCACACAGCACTTTAAGCACAGCACTTTAAAATTTACAAATTTAAAATTTATTGAATGACAGCCTCCTTTTTTTTGGGCAATCCTCTGTGGTGGAGTGGCTGGTGGGCCAGAGGCCCCCCCACCGTTGTCTTGGGCGTCTGGGTGTGGAGGCTATGGAACTTGGGGAGGAGGACGGTTGGTTACACAGGGGCTGTAGTGGCAGTCTGTGCTCCAGCTGCCTTTGCTGCAGCTCAACCATATACTGGAGCATACTGGTTTGGTCCTCCAGCAGCCTCAGCATTGAATCCTGCCTCCTCTCATCACGTTGCCGCCACATTTGAGCTTCAGCCCTGTCTTCAGCAGCCACTTACTCTCTTCAGCCTGCCACCTCTCCTCCCGGTCATTTTGTGCTTTCCTGCACTCTGACATTATTTGCCTCCACGCATTCGTCTGTGCTCTGTCAGTGTGGGAGGACAGCATGAGCTCGGAGAACATTTCATTGCGAGTGCGTTTTTTTTCCTTTCTAAGCTTCACTAGCCTCTGGGAAGGAGAAGATCCTGTGATCATTGAAACACATGCAGCTGGTGGAGAAAAAAAAAGGGACAGCGGTATTTAAAAAGACACATTTTATAAAACAGTGGCTACACTCTTTCAGGGTAAACCTTGCTGTTAACATTACATACATAGCACATGTGCTTTCGTTACAAGGTCGCATTTTGCCTCCCCTCACCGCGTGGCTACCCCCTCAACCTTCCCCCCTCCCTGTGGCTAACAGCGGGGAACATTTCTGTTTAGCCACAGGCAAACAGCCCAGCAGGAATGGGCTCCTCTGAGTGTCCCCTGAAGAAAAGCACTCTATTTCAACCAGGTGACCATGAATTATATCTCACTCTCCTGAGATAACACAGAGAGATAAAGAACGGATGTTGTTTGAATGCCAGCAAACATACACTGCAATGCTTTGTTCTACAATGATTCCCGAGTATGTGTTACTGGCCTGGAGTGGTAAGGTGTCCTACCATGAAGGACGCAATAAGGCTGCCCTCCCCAGAAACCTTTTGCAAAGGCTTTGGGAGTACATCTAGGAGAACCGCGAATGCCAGGGCAAAGTAATCCTTTCACATGCTTGCTTTTAAACCATGTATAGTATTTTAAAAGGTACACTCACCAGAAGTCCCTTCTCCGCCTGCTGGGTCCAGGAGGCAGCCTTGGGTGGGTTCGGGGGGTACTGGCTCCAGGTCTAGGGTGAGAAACAGTTCCTGTCTGTCGGGAAAACCGGTTTCTCCGCTTGCTTGCTGTGAGCTATCTACAACCTCATCATCATCATCTTCTTCTTCGTCCCCAAAACCTGCTTCCGTATTGCCTCCATCTCCATTGAAGGAGTCAAACAACACGGCTGGGGTAGTGGTGGCTGAACCCCCTAAAATGGCATGCAGCTCATCATAGAAGCGGCATGTTTGGGGCTCTGACCCGGAGCGGCCGTTCGCCTCTCTGGTTTTCTGGTAGGCTTGCCTCAGCTCCTTCAGTTTCACGCGGCACTGCTTCGGGTCCCTGTTATGGCCTCTGTCCTTCATGCCCTGGGAGATTTTGACAAAGGTTTTGGCATTTCGAAAACTGGAACGGAGTTCTGATAGCATGGATTCCTCTCCCCAAACAGCGATCAGATCCCGTACCTCCCGTTCGGTCCATGCTGGAGCTCTTTTGCGATTCTGGGACTCCATCATGGTCACCTGTGCTGATGAGCTCTGCATGGTCACCTGCAGCTTGCCATGCTGGCCAAACAGGAGATGAGATTCAAAAGTTCGTGGTTCTTTTCCTGTCTACCTGGCCAGTGCATCTGAGTTGAGAGTGCTGTCCAGAACGGTCACAATGGAGCACTCTGGGATAGCTCCCGGAGGCCAATACCGTTGAATTGTGTCCACAGTACCCCAAATTCGAGCCGGCAAGACCGATTTAAGCGCTAATCCACTTGTCAGGGGTGGAGTAAGGAAATCGATTTTAAGAGCCCTTTAAGTCGAAATAAAGGGCTTCATCGTGTGGACGGGTGCAGGTTTACATCGATTTAATGCTGCTAAATTCGACCTAAAGTCCTAGTGTAGACCAGGGCCTAGAGACTTTTGTTTTTAAAAGACAGAAGACATAAATTAAGGACTGTGCTCACAGGACATATGCAAGAGCCCTTCTCTGCCCAACCCCCTTCATCATCCCCCCTGTCCCCACATAACAAACCAACTAACCCCAACAATAATAAAGTCAGGCTGAGAAAGAATTACCGTCTACCAAATTCATATTTATAGATTAAGAAAATCATAGGAAGGAAAATACCACCCTGTGTCCTACTCCTGGGAGTTTTTAGGATAAAACATCTTTTTATTCTCTTATGGTGAAGAGCATTCTTAAATAGCAGCAATAAAAGGTTCTATATCTTGTAAAGACAGTGTAACAGAATGTATGGATAATTTTCTTAAAGTTAAAAGCCTTTGTAGATACAAATTAAAAGCAAAATTAGGAGATTCAAAGCACAACTTACGTTCTTGAACGTCTTAAAAAACTTGGTGCTAAATTCATCACTGTTATTGCACTGAACTCAGTTTACCACTTCTTGTTTTATTAAAACTTAAGAGGAAGTATCATACTCTATTTAAATTATTTTTAGTGTGCCATTCAGCACAAAGTTCAAATGCTGTTAACAACTTGCATTTTTACTTGGGCTGTCAAGCGATTAAAAAAATTAATCGTGATTAATTGCACTGTTAAACGATAATAAAAACATTTATTTAAACATTTTGGATGTTTTCTACATTTTCAAATATTTTGATTTCAATTACAACACAGAATACAAAGTGTACACTGCTCACTTTGTAATCAAAAATACATATGAATATTTGCACTGTAAAAAACAAAAGAGTATTTTTAAATTCACCTAATGCAAGTACAGTATTGCATTCATCATGAAAGTTGAACTTACAAATGTAGTATAATCTACAAAAAAATAACTGCATTCAAAAATAAAACAATGTAGATCTTTAGAGCCTAGAAAGTCCACTCAGTCTTACTTCTTGTACAGCCAATAGCTCAGACAAACAAGTTGGTTTACATTTGCGGGAGATAATGCTGTCCACTTCTTGTTTACAATGTCATTTGAAAGTGAGAACAGGCGTTCATATGGCACTGTTATGGCTGGCATCGCGAGATATTTACATGCCAGATATGCTAAAGATTCATATGTCCCTTCATGCTTAAACCACCATTCTACATGTGTCCACGCTGATGACAGGTTCCGCTAGATAATGATCCAAAGCCATGTGGACCGATGCATGTTCATTTTCATCATGAGTCAGATGTCACCAGCAGAAAGTTGATTTTCCTTTTCGGTGGTTCGGGTTCTGTAGTTTCCAGGTCAGAGTGTTGCGCTTTTAAGACTTCTGAAAGCATGTTCCACACTTCGTCGCCCTCAGATTTTGGAAGGCACTTCAGATTCTTAAACCTTGGGTCGAGTGCTATAGCTATCTTTAAGAAATTTCACATTGGTACCTTCTTTGCTTTTTGTCAAATCTGCAGAGAAAGTGTTCTTAAAATGGACAACATGTGCTGGGTCATCATCTGAGACTGCTATAACATGAAATATATGGCAGAATGCAGGTAAAACAGCGGGAAACGAACTCCTTTAAGGAGAATTGTGTCATAAATTTAATTAATGCATTTTTTTTTAAACCAGCGTAGTCAGCGAAGAAGGATTTCTTCTGGAATAGTGGCAGAAGGATGAAGAGGTATATGAATGTTTAGCATATCTGGCATGTAAATACCTTAAATGTAAACAAACTTGTTTGTCTTAGCGATTGGCTGAACAAGAAGTAGGACTGAATGGACTTGTAGGCTCTGAAGTATTACATTGTTCTGTTTTTGAATGCAGTTATGTATCAAAAAAATCTACATGTGTAAACTACATTTTCACGATAAAGAGATTGCACTACAGTACTTGTAAGAGGTGAATTGAAAAATACTATTTCTTTTGTTTATCATTTTTACAGTGCAAATATTTGTAATCAAAATAATAATATAAAGTGAGCACTGTACAATTTGTATTCTGTGTTGCAATTGAAATCAATATCTTAGAAAATGTAGAAAGGCATCCAAAAATATTTAATACATTTCAATTGGTATTGTATAACAGTGTGATTAAAACTGCAATTGATCGTGATTAATTTTTTTGAGTTAATCTCATGAGTTAACTGCGATTAATGGACAACCCTAATTTCTACTAACTTGTAATCTAAATAGCTATTATACATGCAAAGGTTTTCAATGAATGTGTTGTAACAACTGAACCTGCTAAAGTTTCAAGCTTGTGTAAAAGCATTGGGCTTACATATTTTGTAGTCTACAGCTACTAGGTGATACGATCACATACTTGAGCTGGTCTGATATATCATCCAATAGCTGGTTGTGGTACACAACTTTGTGTGAAGACAGACTGACACACAGAAAATGGAAGCATATTCTTGTTTATAAATTTTGTTAGTCCCATTAAATAAAACTCTGGAACGAAATTTAAAGGAATTACCCTTCCTTTCAGAAAGTCACAATTACAAGGGCATACAGCTCAGATGATAAAACAAATCAGTCTTTTACTGTAACAGGAGGCAATGGTTAAAGACTTTAATACAAATTACCGCAAATATTAGAAACATACTATCTGGAAGAACTAAGATACAGCATCAAATGCAATGAATAGTCTAATTACCTCAGCGAGTGCACGTACGCACACACACACAGAATTGGTGAGAACTAGTATAGGTGAAACCAATTATTTACTGTACCTGCTCACAGTTGACTTGTGAATGGTGATTGGTTGTCTTGGCGATATACTCCTTTGGTGGTATTAATGATTGTTGATGTTCTCTTTTGGCTCTGTGCACTGTACTGTTTAAAACCAATCTGAGAATATTTAACCCGGCTCCTTCAGTTGGGCTTTTTGTTTGATGCTGTGATACGCTGGTGTTTGCAATTTCTTTGTCTGACTCAGAAATCTGTATCTGTACCTTCTTTGAACTGTGACTTTCCCCAAGTATTTTTGTGGTGTTTTGATTTGATAACTTTCCCCCCTTTTTTGTAGTAGAACTGAGTAGTGCAGGTTTTTTCAAACCTAGATTAGCATTTGATGTCTGAAGCACTGATTTGTCACTAGCAGATAATGAAGAAGAATTTAGCTTTTCAGGTTTGCCTTTACTTGAATTCCTACCTGAAGATGGGCTATTAGAAAAAGCCGAATTTGTCAGCTGCTTACCAGTTTCTTTTTTCTGGTCACATATAGGTCCAGCATTTTTTACACTTGCTTTCCCAGTCATTCTCTGAGCATCAGTGCCATTAGTAGGATTTTTGAATGACACAGTTTGGACAGGTTTGTATACCTGATTTACACTGAGGTTGCATACAGTCAATTTAGACACAGTGACATCTCTAACTACTTTTGGAGAATGCCGTAAAACACTCACTTTTTTCTTTCCTTCATTGGCTCTTGTGGCCTTTACATCCATTTGCAACAACTTTCCTTTGAAAATAGGTATAATTCTAGTGGCATTGTTCTTTTGAGAATCCACACATGAATTCTCAGACATTCTTAAGGATTCAGTTGAGTGAACTGGTACCCCTGATGCTCCTGGAGTCTGCTGCTGCTGTCTACTATGCACTGTTTTCTTCATGGCCTCAGCAACAGCATTCTCTGGACATGGAATGAGATTTGAGAGAGTACATTGTTTCGGCTGATTGATCAAAAGCTCCATCTTGTGGCTCATGCCTGAACTGCATTGTGAAGACCTCTGCTGCAAAGTCTCTCCTCTTGGAGGTGCCTGAGTCAGAGATACCTTCCATATAGGTTTGCTGGTCAGATTTGCAGGCTTGGCATTTACTCCCTGAAACACACAGCTGTTGCCAAACTGATTCAACTGAATGAAGAGAGTTAGTTTACAATGCTACAATAACTTAGCCTGTATACAACATACACTGTACACATTTTTGTGTTGGTTATTTTATAATTCTATTTTTTTAAAAACAACCTAGAATTAAGAACATTGTATGCTTGCTATTAAGACATTTAAGGAAAGATTTTTTTCAGCTTGATAAATGAAAAGTAATATGTATGCAAATATCTGATTGTCAAAATGGCAAATATGTTGCACAATATATATCCTTTCAAGCAAGAATAAAAAAGCATGCCACAAGCTATATACAGTGATTACTTCACCCACCACTGAAATGGAACCCAGCAACCTTTTAACATCACATAGCAACAATAAAAGACACCAGGGGAATTTTTCTGTTACAAATACAAGTGGAGAAACCATTTCAGTAATGTGCCCCTTTCATATCTGTTATATCGGATCATTTTATTCCCTCTCATGGAAAACATCCACTGAAAGGGAAAAACTACTTTGAAAATTCTGTGTGATTTGCCACACTGAGTTTCTGCTACAATATCCTCTTTGAGGAAAAGGGTCTAGAGCCCATAGGGAGAGATCCAATTCCACCCTTCAGGATATTATGGCATCTGCATGCAGAGCAAACTTCTCTATGTTGCTCCTCAGAGCTCCTATTGTGCCACAGGAAACCTAGATGCTTTTGACTCCCTAATCAGCAGATATGTTCAATCAACCCCCTCTTTAAATGAGGAGTAGCTGCTGTTCAAAATTAGTTTTGCTCTGATTACAATTATTTTCCATTAGGACATTCTCCTTAATTGCACAGTTATCACAGACGGTAATACTACGGCTATGTCCTCTGTCTCACACCAGGCTGAAAAACCACCCAAAACCTCACAGAACTCTGATTGTGTGGTTTTTGTATTTAGAGATTTCTGCAGTTTTGAGGGATGAGGGACAAAACGCACTGGATCCAGTTTCCCCATTCTCTGCTTATGAGCTACAATTGGTTGATGAGGCACTTTTTGGATTGCCACATTTCTCAGACAGGGAAGACCTAATCCTTAGTCGTCATTTTAGAGTAGTACTTCTAAAACTGTGGAATGCAAAGCAATTTGTAGTGGCCCACACAGAGCTAGCTGGCTGACTGTCCTCCTTGTCTCTAGTTACTTACACAGACATCTAGACTTTTCATAACAAAGAAATGCCTGGATGCCTGTGAAAACTGTGGGAAATAAGGAGGAGTCATCCTAACTTTCTCCATTAGGGGCTGCAGCTACTGGAAAGAGAGAAACAGGAGCCTCACTCAGACACCAGTTCTTAACATTTTCGAAACTCTGCAATTTCTACTGCATTCTTCAAATTCTACTCTTTGTTTTTAAAAAATTAAGTTTTTCCTTCTTTCACTGACAAGATAATCAGCACGTGTGCTACTGGTCAGAAAAGGCTGAAAATAGTATTTCATATAGCCCATTATTCTAAAAGAGTTGTAAATTTTGCTCCTTCCCATCCTCTTCACCTCTGAAGTGTGAACTTCAGCCTGACTCAAACCATTTAAATGCTTGCAATAATAAGTCTAGACTACTTATTTTCTCTAATTTTCTTTTTCAAAAGGAAAAAATATTGTTGTGATATTTATGGTGGCAGAGTTAAGATAAAAAATTCAGGAAAAGGAAACCTTAGATTCCAACAGAACTGGTAATTTGGCAACATATCACTTCCATATCTTCTTATACAGTTATGATATGAACAGTAATATGTGAGGCTACCCATTTAACTAGAAAAACACAAGTATTAACAGTTATTCATGGTGAGAAATACTTTTATACTCTTGCAGCGTTCTGAAAATTCACATGGGAAAGAGCACGTATTGTCATGAACAACACTGTGCCCAATAATATACATATTAATATAAACATAAAACTTCTTACATGCATGGGATGTTTCATTAGTTCCTTTGTGGCATACAATGCTTTACTTGTCATTTTTACTGGAAATCCACATAGATGAGGAAGTTTAGACTTTAGGTCAGAAAGAAAAGAGTTTAACACGCCTTCTAAATCTACTCTAGTAAAATATTGGACTGGTTGGCTTCTTATGCAACTTAAAGGGTACCTGAATAAGTGTTAAGGACTATGTAAGATGGCTTTTAGCATTTTGTATAATGAAACTGTTTATCCTTTTCTTGAGTAAAAGCTTAAATGCACACTAACATTTCTTCAAAAGAATTTAAAAAAAAGCAGCTTTACTATTTTTAAAGGGACCAACATTTTAGTAGTTTTAATGGTTTTAGAGATTTGAAAGTTTTACTCTTATTAGGCTAAATTAAGCCATTTTCATTCCCATTGAGAAGTACTTTATTGCTTGAGCCGACACATTGAAATCAATGGAATATCCTGCAAAATAAGGTATTATTCAACAGAAGTAAAAGTGATAGAAACTAGTGCTTTATTTGTAACATCCTCCTGATTTTCTTCATTTCCTTCTCTGGATATTTTAATTATTTTCTCATTCCAAAGCACAACTCAATATGAATTTTGGTTTTTAGTCTGAGTTCTTTCTTTGTGAGCATGGTTCTGAAATCAGAGTTTCCTAATTAATGTGAACACCCTCTACTGGCAGTTATTTCAGCAGCAACATAAAATGTCTGAAACAAGTATTAGCAATGCTATTATTTTTTCAGTATTTCAATGATGCAGGGGTGGATTTAAAAAAATAAAGCTAGAATATGGAGCATATTCCTCAGTGGATTGCACAAATTGCAAAGCAAAGGAAAAATGAGGCCTAAACTAATTGATAATGCCCCTAGTAAAGGGTGACCTGCAAAGAAAAACATTCTGTTAGTGCCATTTCTTGTTTCCATAACAAGGAGGCCTGAAAAGATTTATTTTTATAAAAAGGGGGTTTTTCTGCTTGTTTTTAAGATTATAAAGTCATAGGTCACCTAGACTGTTTTTCCTGGAAGACTCTTGATGATTGTGAGGAACAGGTAACTTCACAGATATTATGGAAGTGAAACCAGACTTAGGTTTCAATTGTGAAAACACTTAAAATGTCCTGAACTCTAAGCATGAGAGTAAATGTTAACAGGATCAGGGCCTGTGTGGTGAAGTAATTTTATTCAGATTAAGATTTCCTAAAACTTAAATTTTTATTTGGTTGGCTTTTTTTTGTTTTTGTTGTTAAAGCCTGTTTAACGCATATGACCGAAAAAACAGGCTGAAGAAAAATTATTCTCTCAAAGATTTGGCATCCCAGCCCCTACAAGAGTTCCCAATTCATATCTCAGGGTCCTTTAAGAAACATTTCCAGCAAAATAGAGAAGACCAGATTTGACATCATTCATTAATACTACAGAAGAACTGAATTAAATATTTTGGACCATATTTTCTGATGACATAGCCTCATTCACTTCAATGGAATTACAACTGCAGTGAATTTGGCGCTCAATTTGGATTAGAGTTTGGATCTTGGCTAGCATAGTAGAGGAGAAGACGTTCCAACTCAAAATAAAGTATGTATAAAGGATACGTAAAGAGCCGTTCCCCTATCAGTTTGAAGTAAACACTGCAATATACTTTTGTCTCTCCATGATCCTCTGGAAGGATATACCCATACTAAAAATAAAATACACATATAGATGGAATGTTATTATAAACAATGTGATTAACACAAAAAAATTCAAAAAAGAGACAAAAGGGAAAAAAATCATATGTAATCATGTTCTTTCCTACCAGATTCTTCCAGTGCATCTGAAAGTCTTTGTATGAATGAAAAGGAGACTCTGATGGAATTACATGGCTAATACTTATGATCTGACCCATTTTCATGCTGTACAGGGGTAAAGCAAAGAGAATGCTAGATATAACCCACAGCATAGTTGGAAACACAGATATTTGGTAAACTGTTTGTTTTTGTTGGAATTAAATAGAATTTTACCTTGGCAAGACATAGCACCAATTACTTAAAATGGAGTGTCTCTGAATGACTGTATTTTTATTGTTGTCAAATATTTCTAAGATGTTTGCTGAAATGTCAAAGTCTTCCAGCTTTAAATAGAAAAAAAAGTGTTTTGTTATTTTCAAATATTGCTTCATTTATACAAAATGAAAAAGGAACATGCAAAACATCTAACATGCATTCAAATGTACTACCAAAACTTATACATGAATATTCATTTATCAGCCATTGCAAACTGCTAATTTTAGAATTTTATTCACATTGTCACATGGCAGAGTCTGTTTCAAACGTTAAAAACCTATACTTTCAGGAACTGGCTAAAGACGTAAAAGACTTAAAGGCTGATGGATCATATTGGAGGTACTTTAACATGTAAGGATACTGGATCCAGAAGGACTTGAAGCACAAAATAAATGTCCTCAGACTAAGAACATCCTTACTATCCCTGCAGTACTTTTAAGTTCTACTCAGAAACCAACATATTCTAATGTTGGACAACCTAGTGACAGTATTGCAGCATAATAACCAGGGTAGCAAAAGATCTCAGCAAGACTACCAAGAAGCTATGCCTTTGCCGCTTCTAAAAATCAAGAGAGATGCCCAGATATTCTGAGAGAAGACATGCTGGAGCTAAAGTCATAGACACTCTTAGACCTGGAGAAACATTCTTTTCTGAGACTGTTGTTTGTCATGGTTTGCATCCACGCAGTGACAGAAAAGCCCTTTCAGTTGTTGTGTCTATCTTCAGACTCTAGCAAATTATGGACCACAATATTGATTACTGATAATGAAACATCATGTTAATTTCCATCATAACTGCCTATGTCGTTTTCAAGGCTGATACCTTGAAGTTGTCTTTGATTAGTATGTTATCTAGCTAGCGGAAACGGTGGAATTTCTTTCTCCTGAGAGCCAAAAGATATTCTAAAGGATAGAAATGGATTGAAAATGCTTGCTTTTGTAAGCAAAGAAGTAATCAGAAATTTAGTACTCATTGTACCAGACCAGTTAGGGTGACATGGCGGCTATCAGAACGGATGCTAATTTCTTAATACTGAAGTATGGTTTTCTGATATATTTGCTAACTACGCTCACATCCAGCATGACCCAAACTGCTCCCAACTTTTTTAGGGGTATCACAAAGAAAATGGAACAGGTTTCAGAGAAGCGCTGTGCAGATAGGACTTCTTTGATAGCTCTGATGGCTAAAAGTTGATAGATGGTTTTGAACATAAGATGTTATTCTAAGCTAGGGGTGGGCAAACTACGATCCCTCAGGGCTTTGGATCCGACCCGCGGGATTGCCACCCCCGTGGCGTGGCACCGGGAAGCGGCCACACCACGTCCCTGCAGCCCCTGGGGGTGGGGCTGCAGAGAGCTCTGCACGCTGCTCTTGCCTGTGGGTACCTCCCCTAAAGCTCCCATTGGCCAGGAACGGGTTACCGCAGCCAATGGGAGCTTTGGGGAGGTACCCACAGGCGAGGGAAACACACGGAGCCCACTGCGCACCCCCTTGCACCCCCAGCGGCCATGCAGGGATGTGGTGCCAGCCGCTTCCCGGAGTGGTGCAGTGCAGGGCTGGGGCAGGCAGGCAGGGAGCCTGCCCTGGCCCCGGTGTGTGCCGCTGCCACCCTGGAGCGCTCTAGGTAAGCAGCACCGGGCCGGAGCCTGAACCCCTCCTGCACCCCAACTCCCTGCCCTGAGCCCCCTGCTGCATCCCACACCCCTCCTGCACCCCAAACCCCTTCAATGATCCCCCTCATACACCCCACACCCCTCCTCTGCCCCAAACCCTTGCCCTGAGCCCCTTCCTGCACACCGCACCCCCTCCCACACCGCGCACTCTGCCTCCGCACCCCAACCCTGCAAGAAATTTCCCCACCCAGATGTCGCCCTCAGGCCAAAAAGTTTGCCCACCCCTGCTCTAAGCTATTATAGGATGAAAGGGAAGGAAGGATTATCTCCTGGGTAATGCTGGAGAATATTATGGTATAAAGAAAAGGAGTACTTGTGGCACCTTAGAGACTAACCAATTTATCTGAGCATAAGGCTTTCGTGAGCTACAGCTCACTTCATCAGATGCATGCTGTGGAAAGTTTAGAAGATCTTATTATATACACACAAAGCATGAAAAAATACCTCCTCCCACCCCACTCTCCTGCTGGTAATAGCTTATCTAAAGTGATCACTCTCCTTACAATGTGTATGATAATCAAGTTGGGCCATTTCCAGCACAAATCCAGGTTTTCTCACCCCCCCACCCCAAAACTCACTCTCCTGCTGGTAATAGCTTATCCAAAGTGACCACTCTCCTTACATTGTGTATGATAATCAAGGTGGGCCATTTCCAGCACAAATCCAGGGTTTAACAAGAACGTCGGGGGGGGGGGGGGGAGGAAGAGGGTAGGAAAAAACAAGGGGAAATAGGCTACCTTGCATAATGACTAAGCCACTCCCAGTCTCTATTCAAGCCTAAGTTAATTGTATCCAATTTGCAAATGAATTCCAATTCAGCAGTTTCTCGCTGGAGTCTGGATTTGAAGTTTTTTTGTTGTAAAATAGCGACTTTCATGTCTGTAATCGCGTGACCAGAGAGATTGAAGTGTTCTCCGACTGGTTTATGAATGTTAGAATTCTTGACATCTGATTTGTATCCATTTATTCTTTTACGTAGAGACTGTCCAGTCTGACCAATGTACATGGCAGAGGGGCATTGCTGGCACATGATGGCATATATCACATTGGTGGATGTGCAGGTGAACGAGCCTCTGATAGTGTGGCTGATGTTATTAGGCCCTGTGATGGTGTCCCCTGAATAGATATCTGGGCACAGTTGGCAACGGGCTTTGTTGCAAGGATAGGTTCCTGGGTTAGTGGTTCTGTTGTGTGGTATGTGGTTGCTGGTGAGTATTTGCTTCAGGTTGGGGGGCTGTCTGTAGGCAAGGACTGGCCTGTCTCCCAAGATTTGTGAGAGTGTTGGGTCATCCTTCAGGATAGGTTGTAGATCCTTAATAATGCGTTGGAGGGGTTTTAGTTGGGGGCTGAAGGTGACGGCTAGTGGCGTTCTGTTATTTTCTTTGTTAGGCCTGTCCTGTAGTAGGTGACTTCTGGGAACTCTTCTGGCTCTATCAATCTGTTTCTTCACTTACGCAGGTGGGTATTGTAGTTGTAAGAATGCTTGATAGAAATCTTGTAGGTGTCTGTCTCTGTCTGAGGGGTTGGAGCACATGTGGTTATATCGCAGAGCTTGTCTGTAGATGATGGATCGTGTGGTTGTGGTCAGGGTGAAAGCTGGAGGCATATAGGTAGGAATAGCAGTCAGTAGGTTTCCGGTATAGGGTGGTGTTTATGTGACCATCGTTTATTAGCACTGTAGTGTCCAGGAAGTGGATCTCTTGTGTGGACTGGACCAGGCTGAGGTTGATGGTGGCATGGAAATTGTTGAATCATGGTGGAATTCCTCAAGGGCTTCTTTTCCATGGGTCCAGATGATGAAGATGTCATCAATATAGCGCAAGTGATCACTTTAGATAAGCTATTACCAGCAGGAGAGTGGGGTGGGAGGAGGTATTTTTTCATGCTTTGTGTGTATATAATAAGATCTTCTAAACTTTCCACAGTATGCATCCGATGAAGTGAGCTGTAGCTCACGAAAGCTTATGCTCAAATAAATTGGTTAGTCTCTAAGGTGCCACAAGTACTCCTTTTCTTTTTGCGAATACAGACTAACACGGCTGTTACTCTGAAACCTGTCATTATGGTATAAGGTGACCTAGTGGCATAAAGACGTCCATCCATTGTAATCATCATGCACTGTGTGTAGGCATCCTTCTATTATGTGGAGACTACAAGGAAGGGGTCAGAGACCCTGGTGTCAAACAGGGTTTTGGGTGTTTGTGGATGATACAGTGCTTAAATCTCAACGGTTTCATCTGCCTCTATTGCTACTAATTCATCATCTTCTCCAGAGGAGGACTGTTCTGTAACATCTTTGCCCGGCAGTCCCAAATGGATGTATGTTTCATGTGAAAAATCTACTATCCTTGGGGAAATAGGTTTCAGAGTAACAGCCGTGTTAGTCTGTATTCGCAAAAAGAAAAGGAGTACTTGTGGCACCTTAGAGACTAACCAATTTATTTGAGCATAAGCTTTCGTGAGCTACAGCTCACTTCATCGGATGCATACTGTGGAAAATACAGAAGATTGTTTAATGAAAATAAAGAATTAAAATAAAGAAAATTTTTTCATGATTTGTGTGTATAAAAACAAACATCTTCTGTATTTTCCACAGTATGCATCCGATGACGTGAGCTGTAGCTCACGAAAGCTTATGCTCAAATAAATTGGTTAGTCTCTAAGGTGCCACAAGTTCTCCTTTTCTTCTTGGGGAAATAGTGCTACCAGCATGTGCTTCCCTTTTCCCATGCTCTTATTATTTTCTCTGGAATTCTCTTCAAACAGTAACAATAGGGAAATCTCACAGCTCTGACATTCTGATTGGAATGACTGTCAGACTCCCATGAGTACAACCCTATCCAATAATATATGGTATATATATTTAGTGCAAGATGAGGCTAAGCAACTAACATAGTGCATGTCCAATGGCAATTGGGAGTAAACATCTTGCTTCCCCATGTTCTTTTCAAATAAAGCAGCCCAGATAAAATACAGCCAATAAAAAAGTGCAAGTAGGATGAACAAAATTAGCCATAGAAATTAGAACTGTTCTGTACCTGGGGTGGCGGTAGACGAATTGTGCAAGCCTCTACACTGATGCAAAGTTGGGTCTCTGATACATTGAGGTCCATAACTGAAATAAAATGAAAACCAAAACCACTCTGTATAACTATATAAAATTGTCTCTTAAGTGAAAAGGTAAAGCCAAGAGGCTTATTTAAAAAAGCAAAAACAAAAAACCCTCCAACCATTATGCTCGGTGTAGCAGTACCAAAAGGTAAGAAGAATTCCTCTTCATGTATAAAGAATTTTATTTCAATTTTTAAAAATCAAAATAAGTATTTTCTGGCTAATTCTTAATATCAGTGACTAAATTTCACTTGTAAAATGTATGTGAACATCCATAATTGCACAAAGCTCACGGTTGTATGTCGAAATCAGAGGTAGGCACACTATGGCCCGTGGAACCGTCCTGCCCGGTCCCTGAGCTCCCGGCTGGGGAGGCTAGCCCCTGGCCCCTCCCCCACTGTCCCCCCTTCCCTGCAGCCACACCGCTGCGTGGGCAGCGCGGCTTGCGCTCATCCACCTCCCAAGCTTTCCAATAAGCTTGTCCTGCCGCTCTGAGCGGCCTGGTAAGAGGGCAGAGAGGGTTGGATAAGGGGCAGGAGGTCCTGGGGGGCAGTCAGGGGAAAGGGGGCAGTTGGATGGGGCAGAGGTTTGGGGGTGGTGGTGGTGGTCAGGAGACAGGGAGCAGTTGCATAGGGGGTGGGGTCAGTTGGGACAAGGAGTGGGAGGGGGGGTTGGATGGGTCAGGGGTCCCAGGGTGCCTGTCAGGGGGCGGGGGTGTGGAAAGGGGGCAGGGCAGTCAGGGTACAGGGAGCAGGAAGGGTTGGATAGGGAGTTGCGTCCCGGGGGGGGGGGGGGGGGAGGTCTCAGGAGGGGGCGGTCAGGGAACAAGTAGCAGAGGGGTTGGATGGGTCGGGAGTTCTGAGGGGGGCAGTCAGGGGGTGGGAATTGGGAGGAGGCGGGAGCCAGGCTGTTTGCATAGGTACAGCCTTCCCTACCCGGCCCTCCATACCATTTTGCAACCCCGATGTGGCCCTCGGGCCGAAAAGTTTGCCCACCCCTGGTCTAAATAGTCACTTGAATGCACAAATACCAATTTGCACTGGCAATTACCTGCTCCTGAAAATATTTTCCAGGTGCAAATTTAGGTGCCAATGTTTTAAAATTGAATTCTTAAAATTTATATTTGAGATATAGAAATAAAATATCTTTCTATATATTTATTCATAACATACTAAGGAACAATCCCACTGTGGCCTGATGTTTTGAGAAGTATAAACTTAAGCCAGTTAATCATAGTTACTCATTTTACTTTACCTATGTTCATCAAACCGCCATACCAAGTGTGCAGTCTGAACTACATCTGCCTAAAATTAACTCTTATAACCAGGTTCTTTCAACCATTTATTTCAATCTATGGTCATAGGTTAAGATTAATAGTATAAAAATACTCCTCTCTCTCTTACAGAGGTGCAATTAATTTGAAAAGCGTCCATATAATTTAAAGAAGAATCTGCCAGCAGGTATCATATGATTGAATTTATTTGTAGATTAGAAAATGAAATGATATTGGGTTGATATACTAAGACCATGGAAGCTTTAATACAGTCTTACTAATGTCTAATACACTTACAATATTAACACAATATTGTACTTACCAACAGCATTTTGCCTTCCCATCTGAGACAAAAAATTGCTTCCTTAATAAATAAAATAAGTACGTATTATTTTTATAAAATATATGCAAAAGCCTAGTATACTTTAAGACTTTTATCTCAGAAGTATTTTATGTAGCAGATATGGACAAAGTGCATAATTTATTTTGTGTGGCAGGGTTCCTGTGTAGTTTGCTCCTCACACAGAAAGGAAAAAAATTGTATCAGTGAATTTTTCATTGAATTAGAAGTGGCATGTAAATCAACACAGACATATGCATGAAAACACAACAACTATATACATGATGTTTATCTCTCAGTAAGGAATCCGTATACAGAATTGTTTTTCATTAGGTAACAGGGCACTTTGTCTGGACAAGTGGGAAGAAAAGGGTGTGGCTCCTTTACGGTTGCTCCCCTCCTTCAAACTGAGGTGGGGAGGGGGAGGGAGGCATTTTACCTAAGCTAGGGCTGGCCAGAGGGGGTAAGGTAAGCCACAGGCCTCCTGCAGAGCAGGGAAAAGGTATATATGCTCTGTCCTGCCAGACAGAACCCTCTCTCATGGATCAGTAGGCCCCACCCATTGGACAAGTGTAGAAGTGGGTTTTTGTGGTCTGTTGTGGACACTGTTCTAGTTGCTTTATTCAGGACTGGGAAGGAATTTTTCCCTTATCAGATTCGCTGGAATAGTGTGGGATTTTTCACCTTCCACACACCTTCAGGACCTGATTGGGTCAGCCAAGAAGTAAGATTAAAGTTGTTGCGATGTAGCTGGTAGCAGGTATCCAGTGCAGGTAATTATTCCATAGGGAGTCTGGTTCTCTGATTAACTGAAGTTGGAAGTGGACTTAGGGGAAGGCATCTCCTAAAGAAGTTGGGGAACAGGGTTGGGGCTCCTAATGTCTGTTACAGTAAGGAGACAACTCCCTTTTCCCAGCCTCTTAACTCTCACATGAGGGAAAGTTGGTGGGGTCCCAGCAATGGCTGCAATCAAGGTTGGAGGGGTGGGGGCTGATGGCAGCCCTCCCCAAATAGGTGGAAATGAGTGAGAAAGGAATGATAACCTGCACTGAATGAGTTATTGCTGATAATTCCCAGATGAATTAAGTTACTAAAGTTGCAGCCTAAAAAGACACATTCCTCACATCTTCTTGTTCTTAAATGTCTGAGACAAATTTCTCAGGCTCAAAAGGAGAGCTGGATAGAAACATTGCTTTGTGTTCTTCCATCCACCCAAACCAGCTGATAGCTTAGAGGCAACCCCAGAGCTACCATATGTGTTTCACAAGTTTTAGTCTTAGCCCTGGTCTACACTACGAGTTTAGGTCGAATTTAATAGCGTTAGATTGATTTAACCCTGCACCTGGCCACACAACGAAGCCATTTTTGTCGACTTAATGGGTGCTTAAAATTGATTTCCGTACTCCTCCCCGATGAGGGGATTAGCGCTGAAATCAACATTGCTGGGTTAAATTTGGATTTGTGTGGATGCAATCCGATGGTATTGGCCTCCGGGAGCTATCCCACAGTGCTCCATTGTGACTGCTCTGGACAGCACTCTCAACTTGGATGCACTGGCCAGGTAGACAGGAAAAGCCCCACAAACTTTTGAATTTCATTTCCTGTGTGGCCAGCGTGGCAAGCTGATCAGCACAGGTGACTGTGCAGATCTCATCAGCAGAGGTGACCATGGAGTCCCAGAATCGCAAAAGAGCTCCAGCATGGACCGAATGGCAGGTACTGGATCTGATTGCTGTCTGGGGAGACGAATCCGTGTTATCAGAACTCCGTTCCAAAAGACGAAACGCCAAAATATTTGAAAAAATCTCCAAGGGCACGAATGACTGAGGCTATCACAGAGATCTGCAGCAGTGCTGTGTGAAACTTAAGGAGCTCAGGCAAGCCTACCAGAAAACCAGAGAGGCGAACGGCCGCTCTGGGTCAGAGCCCCAAACATGCCGCTTCTATGATGAGCTGCATGCCATTTTAGGGGGTTCAGTCACCACTACCCCAGCCATGTTGTTTGACTCCTTCAATGGAGATGGAGGCAACACAGAAACAGGTTTTGGGGAGGAGGAAGATGATGATGATGATGAAGTTGTAGATAGCTCACAGCAAGCAAGCAGAGAAATCGGTTTTCCTGACAGCCAGGAACTGTTTCTCACCCTGGACCTGGAGCCAGTACCCCCCGAACCCACCCAAGGCTGCCTCCCGGACCTGCCAGGCGGAGAAGGGACCTCTGGTGAGTGTACCTTTTAAAATACTATACATGGTGTCAAGGTTCCTTCCCCACTCTGAACTCTAGGGTACAGATGTGGGGACCTGCATGAAAACCTCCTAAGCTTACTTTTACCAGCTTAGGTTAAAACTTCCCCAAGGTACAAAATGATTTTACCCTTGGATTTCTACCACCAAACTCTATCTGGGTTTACTGGGAAACGTAGTTTGGACACGTCTTTCCCCCCAAAATCCTCCCAACCCTTGCACCCCACTTCCTGGGGAAGGTTTGGTAAAAATCCTCACCAATTTGCATAGGTCACCACAGACCCAAACCCTTGGATCTTAGAACAATGAAAAAGCATTCAGTTTTCTTACAAGAAGACTTTTAATAGAAGTAAAGGAGTCACCTCTGTGAAATCAGGATGGTAGATACCTTACAGGGTAATTAGATTCAAAACACAGAGAATCCCTCTAGGCAAAACCTTAAGTTACACAAAAGACACACAGACAGGAATATTCATTCTATTCAGCACAGCTATTTTCTCAGTTATTTAAAGAAATCGTAATCTAACACATACCTAGCTAGATTACTTACTAAGTTCTAAGACTCCATTCTAAGACACAGACCCTTTGTTTTTCTCCCTCCTCCCAGCTTTTGAAAATATCTTGTCTCCTCATTGATCATTTTGGTCAGGTGCCACTGAGGTTACCTTTAGCTTCTTAACCCTTTACAGGATTTTTCCTCTGGCCAGGAGGGATTTTAAAGGGATTTACCCTTCCCTTTATATTTGACACATGGTTTAAAAGCAAGCATGTTTAATGATTAATTTGCCCTGGCATTTGCGGCTCTCCTGGATGTACTCCCAAAGGCTTTGCAAAAGGTTTCTGGGGAGGGCAGCCTTATTCCATCCACCATGGTAGGACACTTTACCACACCAGGCCAGTAGCACGTACTCAGGAATCATTGTAGAACAAAGCATTGCAGTGTATGTTTGCTGGCATTCAAACAACATCCGTTCTTTATCTCTCTGTGTTATCCTCAGGAGAGTGATATCATTCATGGTCACCTGGTTGAAATAGGGTGCTTTTCTTAAGGGGACATTCAGAGGTGCCTGTTCCTGCTGGGCTGTTTGCCTGTGGCTGAACAGAAATGTTCCCCGCTGTTAGCCACGGGGAGGGGTGAGGGGCTAGCCATGTGGTGGGGGGAGGCAAAATGCAACCTTGGAACGAAATGTAATGTTAACAGCAAGGTTTCCCGTGAAAGAGTGTACCCATTGTTCTATAAAATGTGTCTTTTTAAATACCACTGTCCCTTTTTTCCCCCTCCACCAGCTGCATGTGTTTCAAGGATCACAGGATCTTCTCCTTCCCAGAAGCTAGTGAATATTAGAAGGCGGAAAAAACGCACTCGTGATGAAATGTTCTCTAAGCTCATGCTGTCCACCCACACTGAGCACAGACAAATGTGTGGAGGCAAACAACGTCAGAGTGCAGGAAAGCACAAAATGACCGGGAGGAGAGGTGGCAGGCTGGAGAGAGGGCTGAAGCTGAAAGGTGGCCACAGCGTGATGAGAGGAGACAGGATTCAATGCTGAGGCGGCTGGAGGATCAAACTAATATGCTCCAGCGTATGGTTGAGCTGCAGCAATGGCAGCTGGAGCACAGACTGCCGCTACAGTCCCTGTGTAACCAACCGCCCTCCTCCCCAAGTTCCATAGCCTCCTCACCCAGACGCCCAAGAACGCGGTGGGGGGGGGCCTCCGGACACCCAGCAACTCCACCCCAGAGGATTGCCCAAGCAACAAAAGGCTGGCATTCAATAAGTTTTAAACTTCTCAAGTGCTGTGTGTCCTTGTCCTTCCCTCCTCCACCACCCCCTCCCAGGCTACCTTGGTAGTTATCCCCCTGTTTGTGTGATGAATTAATAAAGAATGCATGAATGTGAAGCAACAATGACTTTATTGCCTCTGCAAGTGGTGATCGAAGGGAGGAATGGAGGGTGCTTAGCTTACAGGGAAGTAGAGTGAACCAAGGGGCGGGGGTTTTATCAAGGAGAAACAAACAGAACTGTCACACCGTAGCCTGGCTAGTCATGAAACTGGTCTTCAAAGCTTTTCTGATGTGCACTGCGCCCTCCTGTGCTCTTCTAACTGCCCTGGTGCCGGGCTGCGCATAACCAGCAGCCAGGCGATTTGCCTCAACCTCCCACCCCGCCATAAATGTCTCCCCCTTACTCTCACAGATATTGTGGAGCACACAGCAAGCAGTAATGACAGTGGGAATATTGGTTTTGCTGAGGTCTAAGCAAGTCAGTAAACTGCGCCAGCGCACTTTTAAACATCCAAATGCACATTCTACCTCCATTCTGCACTTGCTCAGCCTGTAGTTGAACAGCTCTTGACTACTGTCCAGGTTGCCTGTGTACGGCTTCATGAGCCATGGCATTAAGGTGTAGGCTGGGTCCCCAAGGATAACTATCGGCATTTCAACATCCCCAACAGTTATTTTCTGGTCTGGGAATAAAGTCTCTTCCTGCAGCTTTTGAAACAGACCAGAGTTCCTGAAGATGCGAGCGTCATGTACCTTTCCTGGCCATCCCACGCTGATGTTGGTGAAACGTCCCTTGTGATCCACCAGTGCTTCCAGCACTATTGAAAAGTACCCCTAGCGGTTTATGTACTCGCCGGCTTGGTGCTCCGGTGCCAAGATAGGGATATGGGTTCCGTGTATGGCCCCACCACAGTTAGGGAATCCCATTGCAGCAAAGCCATACACTATGACCTGCACATTTCCCAGGGTCATTACCTTTGATATCAGCAGATCTTTGATTGCATTGGCTACTTGCATCACAGCAGCCTCCACAGTAGATTTGCCCACTCCAAACTGATTCCCAACTGACCGGTAGCTGTCTGGCGTTGCAAGCTTCCATAGGGCTATTGCCACTCGCTTTTCAACTGTGAGGGCTGCTCTCATCTTGGTATTCATGCGCTTAAGGGCAGGGGAAAGCAAGTCACAAAGTTCCATGAAAATGCCCTTACGCATGCGAAAGTTTCGCAGCCACTGGGAATCGTCCCAGACCTGCAACACTATGCCATCCCACCACTCTGTGCTTGTTTCCAGGGCCCAGAATCGGCATTCCACCGAATGAACCTGCCCCATTAGCACCATGATGCCCACACTGCCAGGGCCCGTGCTTTGAGAGAAGTCTGCGTCCATGTCCTCACCACTCTCGTTACCGCGCTGACGTCACCTACTCGCCCGGTATCGCTTTGCCAGGTTCTGGTGCTGCATATACTGCTGGATAATGCGCATGGTGTTTAATGTGCTCCTAATTGCCAAAGTGATCTGAGCGGGCTCCATGCTTGCCATGGTATGGCATCTGCACAGAAAAAAGGCGCGGAACGATTGTCTGCCGTTGCCCTGACGGAGGGAGGGGCGACTGACGACATGGCTTACAGGGTTGTCTTACAGGGAATTAAAATCAACAAAGGGGGTGGCTTTACATCAAGGAGAAACAAACAACTGTCACACAGAATGGCCCCCTCAAGGATTGAACTCAAAACCCTGGGTTTAGCAGGCCAATGCTCAACCCACTAAGCTATCCCTCCCTCTCGTATTTCAGGCAGGACTTCACGGAGGGATGGAGGGTGGGGGGGAGCAAATTAATACAAAATCTGGTCTATTTCTTGTTTTGATCCACTCCATCCATCTTTTACATCTTTGGCTGGCAGCAGACGGTGCAGAAGGACTGCAAGCCATCCACATCTCTTGGCTGCTCGGCAGAAGATGGTACAATAGGACTGCCTGCAGGACTAAAGAGAGTGACCTGGTCGAGTCACTCCTAATGTAGTCCCTGCGCCCATGTCTGCCCAGTCGCTCCTGACCGACGCGGCCAGGAGCACCTCGGACATGATGATGACGGCTACCAGTCCTATTGTACTGTCTGCTGCCACAAGGCAATGGGTTGCTGCTGCTGCGTAGCAATGCAGTACCGTGTCTGCCAGAACCCAGGAGACATACGGTGACAGTGAGCTGAGCGGGCTCCATGCTTGCCGTGGTATGGCATCTGCACAGGTAACTCAGGAAAAAAGGTGCGAAACGATTGTCTGTCGTTGCTTTCACAGAGAGAGGGAGGGAAGGAGGGCCTGATGACATGTACCCAGAACCACCCGCGACAATGTTTTTTGCCTCATCAGGCATTGGGATCTCAACCCAGAATTCCAATGGGCAGCAGAGACTGCGGGAACTGTGGGATACCGCCAGTGCAACACTCCAGAAGTTGACACTAGCCTCGGTACTGTGGAAGCACTCCGCCAAGTTAATGCACTTAATGCACTTAGAGCATTTTGTGTGGGGACACACACAATCGACTATTTAAAAATGATTTCTGCAAAACCAACTTCTATAAATTCGACCTAATTTTGTAGTGTAGACATACCCTTAGAATGTACTAACACAATTAACAGCTTGCAATTTTCACACAGAGGGAGAGAAACAGTACCAAAACCCAAGAGACCTCTCTTAATTAGTAATTCCCCATAGTTTAAATTTCAGGGTATCAAACTCATTTGTGATTTTAATACAGAACTTCTTTAATATGATCCAACACCCTGAGTTCCTAAAGATGCAAGCGTCATGCACCTTTCCCGGCCAACCCACGTTGATGTTGGTGAAATGTCCCTTGTGATCCACCAGTGCTTGCAGCACCAGTGAGAAGTACCCCTTTCGGTTTATGTACTGGCTGCCTTGGTGGTCTGGTCCCAAGATAGGAATATGTGTTCTGTCTATTGCCCCACCAGTTAGGGAATCTTATTGCAGCAAAGACATCCACTATGACCTGCACATTTCCCATAGTCATTACTCTTGATAGCAGCAGTTCAGTAATTGCGTTGGCTACTTGGATCACAGCAGCCCCCACAGTAGATTTGCCCACTCCAAATTGATTCCAGACTGACCGGTAGCTGTCTGGCATTGCAAGCTTCCAGAGGGCTATTGCCACTCGCTTGTGAACTCTGAGGGCTGCTCTCATCTTGGTATTCTTGTGCTTCAGGGCAGGGGAAAGCAAGTCACAAAGTTCCATGCAAGTGCCCTTACATATGCGAAAGTTTCACAGCCACTGGGAATCATCCCAGATCTGTAACACTATGTGGTACAACCAGTTTGTGCTTGTTTCCCAGGCCCAGAATTGGAGTTCCATGGCATGAGCCTGCCCCATTGCCACCAGGATGGCCAAATTGCCAGGGCCCGTGCTTTGAGAGAAGTCTGTGTCCATGTCCTCATCCCTGCGCTGCCATCGCCACCACTTCGCCTGCTTTTTCAGGTTCTGCATGATAATGCATGAGGTGTTTACAATGCTCATAACTGCTGCGGTGATCTGAGTGGGCTCCATGCTTGCTATGGTATGGCGTCTGCAGGAGAGCAGAGTTCCAGGGGAAGCGGTGGTTGTATGACCAGTTTTGCAGACCTACTCCACTGTCTGCTGTCAGGACATAACAGCTGAGTGGGCTGCACGCTTGCCGTGGGATGGCGAGACAAGAGCAGCTGAGCAGAGTTGCAGCGGAAGCAGCCTTGCAAGACCACCAGGAGAGCAGAGTGCCAGCGGAAGTGGTGGATGACAATGGTCATATAGAGGACCTGCGAGATGGATTCATAGCACCAGGAGAGCAAAGTAGCAGTGGAAGCTGTGGATGACGATGACTGTTTGCAGGCCTACTGGACCGTCTGCTGAAAGCAGTATGGCGCCTGCATGGAAAAAAAGGTGCGAAACGATTGTCTGCCGTTGCTTTCACAGAGGGAAGGGCGACTGACGACATGCACCCAAAACCACCCGTGACAATGTTTTTGCCCCATGAGGCATTGCAAGCTTAACCCAGAATTCCAATGGGCGGCGGAGACTGCGGGAACAGTGGGATAGCTACCCACAGTATAATGCTCCGAAAGTAGATGGTAGCCTTGGTACTGTGGATGACTTTCACTGACTTAATGTGCTTAGTGCATTAGTGAGGAGACACACACAATCGACTATATAAAATCGCTTTCTAAAAAAATCAACTTCTATAAATTCGACCTAATTTTGTAGTGTAGACATACCCTAAGTGATACAATGAAATTAAGAACCAAATAGTGGCCTTGATTCCAATGAGGAGGGGCCACTGACAACAGATGGGTAGAATGTCTCAGAAAGTATCCAGAAGAGTTGGGAATAAAGGTGCTGGATAGTGCTTCCCACACTGGTTGAAGAAGGGCTAGTGCGTACTTTGTCTCCACTCTACCTCATACCAACCAGCTGCCCATGCCCCTTGGCCATGGAAAGCTTGTGGAAACATTCTGCCTAGGTCACATGCAGCGCACTTGGTGGAAGGAGGAAAGAGCCGACCTGAATACTCTTCATTAGCATACCTATACATAACAAGATACAGTGTAACCTCGAAATATAAAACTACTGTAGCATCCTCCTCCTATAGGCTACACACCCCAGAATGAACACTGTAGGTGCTAAAGGTTTACTTCAATAAAAGTAAGCCAATTTCACACCATCTGAGGATCTCGCCCTCTGATATTAATTCTTTTTCTTGAATACACTGGTTTTAAAGGGATGTAAATCTGTTTTGAAGATAGTCAATGAAGAAAAACTGATTCAAAATAACGTAGAAAAGTCTGATAACAGTAAGACTGGAACTAAAACAGAAAAACACATTTTTATCCCAATTTATACTGTAGAATAAATCCATACAATTTCTTTAATGGATGAATAGCATGTGATTGTGTTAGAACCACATCCACCGGTGTCCAGTTTTCTACATTTGCTAATTTGCCACTCTTCTCACCTTGTTCAGTTAGTAGGGGAAACATTGTTAGGTGGTAAGAACAACAACACCTAGCCTCATGAAACTTGGTGGAAAGGCATGGTCGTAAAGCATGTCACTTTCATCCTATGTAAGTGAAGTGTGCAATTTCTGTGAAACACAACAGCTGATTTTGAAACCTATTTACAGTATTTTCATAAATCTGCTGTATTGCAAAATTTGGTTTTGAAATTAACTGAATATACTATGGTCAATTTAAATGCTTATTAAATCAGTTACACAAAGGAGAGGGGAGACAGAAAATTTGAATTCCTTGTCCTTTTATATTATTCATTAAAAAACTGAACTGGGATAAAGAAACAATCATAGAAATACAAAAACAAAAACGTAAGACTAATAATCAAAGAGTAGGCAGCATATGCATGGCAAATATAATTTAAAAAATAATAAAGTACTGAAAGTCAAAGGGTCAGACTCTGACCCAGTTGAGTAAGATACCTTGTACCAACAGATGACCAGCCTTATTCCAGCTGGGGGCAAGTCTGGTTATAAGCGTGTAACAGAGACATAGTTGAAGGATGGCTGGGCCAATTCTCTCTGGAGCCTCAATCTAGTAATAATAACCAAAGGAAAAAAGTTTTAAATAATTATATAATAAGTAGATTTTAAAGTAATTAAATCAAGGTTTTATAAAAGATAATCATACTGTTATTTTGGGCTAGATCCTGAGAGATGCTGAGCACCTGTACCCTTTATTATAACTGGGAACTGCAACAGATTGGGATTTGGCCTTTTGCATTTTACTGGACAACATTAAGGTGCATTCTAATGCATTATGGGTTTTTGGAGGGTCAGAAGGTTGGGGGGAAAGGAATGACTGAATGAGTTATATATAGTACTTTTTAGTGGATATTGTTTATATCTCATTCCAAACTCTGACCAGTGATTCCCAACATGCACATATATCAAGCCCAGTTGCCTGTCTAGCCCGAGATCAAGGATGTTTTTTGATGAGATCACAAGTTTGGTTGATAAAGATAATTGTGTTAACATAATATACTTAGACATGTGTCTTGGTCCCACATGACAATGTTAAAAAAAATAGCACTAGACAAAAATCAATGTAGCCTATACTAAATGCATTAAAAACTTGTTCGCTGATCTCTCAAACAGGATGTTTCTAGTGAGGTCCTATCTGTTCTCAGTCCAATGCTATTCAATACCTTTATCAGTGAGCTGGAAGACAATATAAAATAATTAATAAATTTTTCAGATGACAAAAAAATGCTAGAGTGGTAAATAATGATGGCGTCAGATTAGTTATACAATTTGACATAGATCATTTGGTAAGGTGGGTTCATCTGAACAAAAGGTGTTTTTATACAGTCAAATGCAAGGTCATACATCTAAGAACAAAGAAAAGTAGGCCACAGTGAAGATGCACATGCATGATTACAACTTGGTTTTGATTATAACTACTGTCTTCCTACTTAGCAGTTTCTGAAAGTCCATACAAACGCAAACGTTATATCACAGGCAATGTAGCACAACAGTGTAGCAATATACACTGCAAACAAAACAAAAACAGATCATTGACAGGGCTTCACAAAGTTTTCTGTACTTTGCATTATTTGGTACTGTAAGCCAATCCTATAATACACGGCATACACATTTTGTGCAAAATCTAAGTAGGGGGGAGATTTTCTGTTGGAATGGGAATTGCAAGCACTATGAAAAATATCAGTTTTTACGACTGGGATCACAAGTACTGGCAACAATGAATAAGTAACAGTGTGAAGAATCACTTACTGTAGCTCCATGTTTCTGTACAAAAGCCTGACATTTTCCTGTTTTGTAAAAAGATATCTAAAGAAAAACAAAAGAATTATCTGAACCTTTTGAACTTAAAAGGAGTATTCAACAATTACTGGTGCAGCCTTACCACATTCTGTACTAACCATTCTTCCAGAGCCCAGTCCTTGATATCTATTGGTCTTAATTTTTTTCAGAGTAGTAGCCATGTTAGTCTGTATCAGCAAAGACAACGAGGTATCCTTGTGGCACCTTAGAGATTACAAAACCTAAACTTAATTTCCCCAATACTAATTTCGCCCTACTGTTACACCCTTCTTGTTAACTGTCTGTAATGGGCCACTCTCTTACCACTTCAAAAGAGATTTTCTCTCCCTTGGTATCCTGCTGTTAATTGATTTCACTCGTTAGACTGACCTCACGCTTGGTAAAGGAACCCCCCATCCTCTCATGTATTTATACCTGCTCCTGTATTTTCACTCCATGCATCTGATGAAGCGGGTTCTAGCCCTCAAAAGCTTATGCCCAAATAAATTTGTTAGTCTCTAAGGTGCCACAAGGACTCCTCGTTTTTTCTTAATTTTTTTGTTATTATTGGTGGGGGTTTTGTATTATTGTAGAGTCTACAAGTCCTACTCATGAACCAGTACCCACTATGGCAGAAATTTATAATAAAATTGCGTTGAAACTACCTCAGCTATCCTGAAGTGGGGCTGGTGACTGAAAAGATCCATAATGGACCCAGGATGGCTGCTGTGGGTCTCTTCCCTGGCTGATAGTTGCATTCTCAAGGTCAGCAGGGAAGAGCTATTTTCCTTTGTCCTTAACCAATGACCAAAATAAAATATTTAATTAATGCAGTTGGATGAAAATGTCTTCCCACAGGGCTGGCTCTAGGTTTTTGTACAGCTCTGTGCAACTCATGACATGCAGGGTCCCATTATATTTTCCCACCACAGTTTCTGAGGCTCTGCTCATGGCACTGGGGAAGGAGGACAGATTTTTTTTTAAGTGACAAACAAACTGTCCGGTATTTATATAGGAAAAAAATACAATTTAAATTACATGGAAAAGTTTTCAGCAATGTCCAATTTTTGCTGTTTAGGAGCAACATGTGTATGTTTTATTCGATTTTGTATATTCATCTTGATATGAGAGAGATCTTTTTAATACATTAAAAAGTGAATACATAAATTAAATAAAGTCATTTTTTCCAGTGTTAGATGTCAGGCCTGGCCCAATAGCATCTTTGTTTTATAAGAACTAGCTCATTAATATGTGAAGTGAATGATAGTTTAAAAACACCAGGCACAATATTTTAAAAATACATAATATAGAATAAATGGACACAAATCAGATGTCAAGAATTATAACATTCATAAACCAGTCGGAGAACACTTCAATCTCTTTGATCACTTGATTACAGACCTAAAAGTTGCAATATTACAACAAAAAGACTTCAAAAACAGACTCCAAAGAGAGACTGCTGAATTGGAATTAATTTGCAAACTGGATACAATTAACTTAGGCTTGAATAGAGACTGGGAGTGGATGGGTCATTACACAAAGTAAAACTATTTCCCCATGTTTATTCCCCCACCCCCACCGTTCCTCAGATGTTCTTGTTAACTGCTGGAAATGGCCCACCTTGATTATCACTACAAAAAGTTTTCTTCCCCCTCCCCCCCACCCACCCCACTCTCCTGCTGGTAACAGCTCATCTTAAGTGATCACTCTCCTTACAGTGTGTATGATAACACCCATTTTTTCATGTTCTGTGTGTATATAAATCTCCTCACTGTATTTTCCATTGAATGCATCCAATGAAGTGAGCTCTAGCTCACGAAAGCTTATGCTCAAATAAATTGGTTAGTCTCTATGGTGCCACAAGTACTCCTTTTCTTTTTATAAAATATAGTAGTATTTAACATTAAATAATTAATTGTGTAATTTAGTTTACAGTGAAAGTTAAGAAAGCATTATGAAAAAGACACTCCCAAAGCACTGCCAAATATTTTGGGTAAAATCCTGGACCCACTGAAGTCAACAGTTTTGCCATTGACTTCAGTAGGGCCAGGATTTCACTCCTCCTCAACACTTAAGGCACATTTCACTGTACTTCTCTATATGAAGTGATGATACACATTACTTACCACTGTCCTTTCAAAGTGACATTTCTTCCATGGAAGAAATAATATGCCACATTCATTATTGGTGTTAATTTACATATTTTGCATTAACAATTCATATTTAAATTGTATCAATTTACTTATAGTAGTTCTGCTAACAACACAACTTGGAATATGCAGATAGAAATACTGTAAGTATCAGAAATTTTATTACTGACCGCCATTACAACTGAAATTTGATTCAGTGTTCCAGGGACAGGTGAGGAAAGGATATCTTGATGAAGAAATAACAATTGCCTACAAAGACAAAACTTTTCAAAATTAATTCTGAAGTGAATTTCCTCTAAATTGGGCTTGACATCTCAGCATTAGGTTACCTTTATTTTAGTTACATTTTCCTAAAACTTAACTACATTTTCCAGTAGTTCAGCAGAAAATACTGGATAGCTCAAGTTACTGAGTCACATCCCACCCAGACTGGTCAGTCACAAACAGTTATCTGATCATTGTTTGGAGACCTTAGTGAGAAGAAACAAAATCCACATTCAGAATTGGCACTCACGCTCTCCCAGAAAGTGGGAAGGTAAATGTGAAACAAAAACAAGAGTAGGCATGGTAACTGGAGTATGTTGGGAAGGTGAGTGTGCTTTTTGGGAGAGTACTATCACTTTATTCCTCACCTCAACCTCTGTAAAACACTATAATATCTTAGGTGATGCATTCAAAGAGTTCCAGAACTTCGCATAGGCCTATGGACTAACTTTGAATCTTTTATTATTCCCTTACTAATTCAGTGGTTCACGCATGACAAGTGACTTAAAATTGAACACTTTACAAGCTATAAAGAATATTGTTGACTTTAAAAAAAAATAATCATGATGTACCTTACTAGAACAGCTACAGGGAAAAAATGTATTCTGTAATATGTATGAATGTCATAACTGTCAGGAACTTTACGGATCCTGTTACAGTTTACTACTACTACTACTGAAATACTTTAAAAAAATTACTTCTGAGAATGCCAACCGTTATTTGCCTTTACCTGCAAATCTTCATCTGTGTATTCCTAACCTCATTTTCTGCCAATTTAGAACTCAGTGTAACCTTAATGGCACAGAGCTTTTGTAATGCAGGCAAACTGACGAAGAACAGCGACTGGTGTCTTGTGTCATTCATCTTATTTTGTTAACTGTCCCAACTCAGCAGCTTAGTCTTTAATAAAAGAAAAATATTACTTCATTATCAAAAAGAGGAGACTATTATTAGGATATTGTGGACCTCAGCAGAGTCACATGCAAGCTGAATAAGTAAACAGTAATGCCAACCCAAGTGTTCAAAAATCATGAGAAGAGGGATCCCGAGCTGGTGGAGGCATTCACAGATCCCTTCTCCTTTTCCCTACTTCCCCATCAGTGGATGAAAGAGCCAAAACAATTTCAAATAGAAGAAAAAAGATTTTAAAAACCAAGTTTGGTCACAGTCACCCTGATACTCAGTTTTCAGTTTTATGAAAAGTGAGGTCAGTGTGAAACTGCACTTTAAGTCTTAGAAGATGATCTGTGGTTGGTTGCACATTTTAATCGGTATATATGCTGTTACAAAGTTCCTCCTCTACCTTGGTGGGTCTTGCGCTTATTGGCGGATTTGCTCACCTTGGAGCTTCAGAGCAGCCCTCAGCTTGGTCGTTTTTCTGAACCCACAGTCCAGGAAGTGGGAGGTTTGGGGGCAACCCGGGCCCGCCCTCTACTCCAGGTTCCAGCCCAGGGCCCTGTGGAATGCAGCTGTCTAGGGTGCCTCCTGGAACAGCTGTGTGACAGCTACAACTCCCTGGGCTACTTCCCCATGGCCTCCTCCCAACACCTTCTTTATTCTCACCATAGGACCTTCTTCCTGGTGTCTGATAATGCTTGTACTCCTCAGTCCTCCAACAGTCCGCATTCTCACTCTCAACTCCTAGCGCCTTTTGCTCCCAGCCCCTCACACGCGCACCACAAACTGAAGTGAGCTCCTTTTTAAACCCAGGTGCCCTGATTAGCCTGCCTTAATTGATTCTAACAGCTTCTTGATTGGCTGCAGGTGTTCTAATCAGCCTGTCTGTCAGAATTGTCTCCAGAAGGTTCCTGATTGTTCTAAAACCTTCCCTGTTACCCTACCCAGGGAAAAGGGACCTACTGAACCTGGGGCTAACATATCTGCCTTCTATGCTCTCCTAAAGCCCCCTGGCCTGGGCTTTTCTTACTTTTTGCCCCGTCTCAGGTTCCCCTCCCCAACCGGGCCAGATGCTTTTTCTTCGTTTTGTTTTTTTTTTGCTGTTTTTCTGCTGCCGTTCAAGTGCTGGTCGGCTGCCAGCTAGCTGCCAGCCCCCCCACGCCTGCCCTCGGATGCTGCTACTGCTCCAGCTGAAACCCCCGGGGAGGGGGGGAGGGATTGCCGACTCGCTCCCCAGAGGAGGGAAGTGGAAGCCCCCAGACCCAGCCGTTTGCTGTTCGTTTGTGGACTGGTAATTAACCGACAGGTTATTTTTTTCTTCTTATCTGCTTGGCAGTTTTGGAATGCTCCACAAAGCCCGGGAGAGAAGACAGCCGACAGAGAAATCACCCAGGGAAGCTACAAATCATCATGGAGGGGACCATAAGACTGAATAACTTTTGAACTGTACTCTCGTGTGGGGGGAGTCTGACTGTGTCTTAACTGCGTTTGTAAGGGGCACAGGAGGTGTGGCACGGAGCTGCCCCCGGATCCATCGGTGCCCCCCCTACACTACTACAACGGTCACGGCCCCCCCACCATCCGTCCCTGCTGGCAACTTGCCATCTGCCTCTGGATTCAGCTGCTTTCCCCAATTCCACTGTCCGGACCAGAAACAACAGCCGACCAAACGAGACTCTTTGGACAAACATGCGTCCTGCCCCCCGCCCACCCCCGGACTGTTCACCCCACAGTTGCCCCTATTACCTGACCCCAACTCCTGTTTCCTCCCCCGTCCAGTCCGACCCATTTGCCCCCCGCCTGCAGCCCAGTAGGGAGAAGTGGTTAATCTGCTTCCCCCTCCCCCTTCTGGTGCCTCCCCGTCTCTCCCTGCTCACAATGGCAGGGAATGAGAGGGGTGAGGCCCCTCTAACAACCTCAGCTGCCCCTCCCCCACCTACCTAACCGCCAAGCCTCTGCCAAAACACCTGCCACCGCCCCCGCTGGGGCATCGGCAGCAGGAGGCATCGAGGTGACTACTGCTGCTATTACGCCCACCGCCCCCCCAGATTCTAGGAGAGCCCCCCCCAGTTGGCCAGAAAGGCCAGGGTGCGAAGAAGGGAAAGGGCCCCGCTACAACCACCAGGCCCTCCATGGCAGGGGCTGCCCCCACCGCTGTGGCCTCGTCATCGACCATGGCGTCCCTCCCCGCTGTTCCCTCCACCAGCTCTGCGAGCGTCCCTCCCCCGGCCCCCAGGGTGTATGCCCAGGTGGTAGCAGCCCCCGCTCCCCACCGCCTCTTCATCTCGCCCACCCACCGCCTCTGCTACCATCAATAGCGGCCGGGGCCCCTTTCCAACCATGACCAGGAAGCATGGCGTCCGTTGCCTCCTGGTGCCCAGCTTGCCCCACGTGGAGACATACGTGCAGGTGTTGGCGAGGGTGGTAGGACCCACGGCTATTGTGGCGGCCTCCAAAATGTACGGGAAAATCATCTTTTTCTTAGCATTGGAGGCTGCCGCCCAGGAGGCGGTGGAGAAGGGCCTGGCGGGGGTGTGGGTGTGGGTTTTCGTTCCCCTGGAACCGCTAGAGGACCTGGGCGTCTGCCTAGTCCTGACCTCCGTCCCTCCATTTCTACCCAACGCCGCCCTGTTACCCGCTCTCTCCACCCTGGGGAAACCCATTTCTGTCATCAGTCCTCTCCCGTTGGGCTGCAAGGACCCCACCCTCCATCATGTCCTTTCGTTCCGCCGGCAAGTGCAGCTTCTACCGCCGTCGGTGGCGCGTGATGGAGAGGCGCTTGAGGGGTCCTTTCTGATCCCCTACCAGGGAGCCCGCTATCGGGTCTACTATTCCACAGGAGAGGCCCGGTGCTACCTCTGCCGATCAGCGGGGCATGTCCGAAGAGACTGCCCCTTGGCCTGGCGGGGAGGGGCACCCGAGACCCGGCAGGATATCGGCTCCGTCATTGCCGACGCCCCTGGCCGCCCGGTACCTGAAACCGCCTCTCCTCCTGCTCGATCCACCGCTGCTCCTGCCCGAGCCCAAGAGACACCTCCTCTACAACGCCCAGACGAGAGAGAGAGCCCCGCCCTTGCTGTTAACAATCCAGCAGAGCCTACGGAGGAGGGTGCAGCAAAGATATTACCGGGCATAGGAGAGGGCCCGCCCAAGGAGAACCCCCCTCCCCTCATGCTGCCTCACCGTTACCCCCCCGAACCCCTAAACCATCGCCTCTGCCCCCCGACAAGACCCCTGCTAACCAGCCCCCAGACGATGCTATGGAGGGCTGGACCCTAGTCCACAGGAAGCGAGGCAAGCGGAAGGCTCGAGCTCCGCTGCACCCATCCGATGCGGAGGCCCCCCGGAAGACCAGGAAGGGAGACACTGATACTGAGCCTTCCGCTATGCCCACGAGTGAGATCCATCCACTGGTGTCGGGAGGGGAAGACAAAATAGCATTGGAAGGTAGGATCTCCCCTCCACGGGAGACCCTCCCCTCCGAGACTCCTGAGGAAGCCCCTTCTGCCCGAATATCACCCGAACCCCCCGCAAACCCCGAAGCGACCGTCGAAAGCGGGCGCCACAGGGGAGACCCCCAGGGTGGCGGAAGGCGACCTCTCCTCCATGTATGAGGAGATCGAGGCCCTAGGTTTGATCCCAGTCACCAGGGAGAGGATGACCTACTGCCAGCCGGCCTCGATCTGGGCAACCTCACCCCAGTCTCCCTTTCCCCATGCTCCCTCCACCTAACCACCTTCCCGGGCGGGCACCCCACAGAAGGTGGTCCACCACCTGATGCCGTGGCTGCCAAATCCACTACCCGAGCCTGCGCCTAGTATCACTGGGAGCCCCCCCCACTTAACCCTCGACTCTGCTCGGGAGGCGCCACCTTTCAGCTGCTTGCCTCCCGAAGCCCAGAGCCTCGCGTCTGACCCCGCCCCACCCCTGTCCCTGCCCAATCCACCTCCTCCTGCAATGCTATTGCTGCCCCTGGGGTTATTTCTTTCCCTTTTTTGCGGATCCCCCCCAAGGAGCAGCCTTTGCATTTTCTTGCCATGACCCATTAGGAGCTGCAATTTTCCCTCCCCCATCCCCTTCTACCCCAAGGCTTGAGACGGACGTAATAACTTTAGCCTGTCAGACGCCCTGTCGGTGGTCTGCACCCTGTCTGCCCGCCTCAGCGGACCACGAGGCTGCATCAAGAGCCCCACCAGCGAATAACTGGGAAATCGCAACCCCCCCGCCCCCAAATGAGCTGCGAAAAGCGTTGTGGGAATTTTTAGAAGACATCCGTGGCTCCCGCAACAGGGTATGGCTAGCTCTCCAGCTATGGGGGGACTTTGATCAAATCCTCCAGGCCACAAGGGCCCTTATAAAGGAGGGTAGAGGGAAAAGAAGGCATGGTGCTGCGGCCTATGGGCGGGCCTGCAGCTTCCGTGATGATTTACTCACTTATGGGATGGGTCACGGATTGTTGCGCAACCCGCTGGGGGCCGCAACACCCCCGCCAACAAGGAATCCCCACCCTCCCCCCAGCCCTCCGCATGACGCCTCTCATTATCGCAACTTTGAACACTAGGGGCTGTAGGATGGCTCTCCGCAGGTCTCAGGTGCTCTCTTACCTTCGGGAAGGGCGGTACTCTGTGGTTTTCCTGTAGGAGACCCATACGGATCCGACCACGGAGGACAGCTGGTGGCTGGAGTGGGGGGACAGGGTCTACTTTAGCCACTTCACAATTCGACAAGCTGGAGTGGCGACCCTGTTCTCCCCCAACCTACGGCCCAAGGTGCTAGGGGTCACTGAGGCCATGCCAGGCCACCTGCTGCATCTCTGAGTCTGTATGGAGGAGCTCGTGGTCAACCTCGTTAACATCTATGCCCCGACAACGAGCCCGAAGTGGCCGCAATCCTATCAGCGGGTGTCCGACTTCCTCAGCACCCTAGATTCTCATGAGTGCTTAGTTCTGGGAGGGGACTTTAACACCACCCTTGAGGAACAGGACCGCTC